GTGCGTGTCATTTGTACACACACAAAACGGTAAGGCACAAGACTTGGCCCCCACTAGTGAACCGACTTTAACACATGGACCACTGCTGATCGGAACAAGCCCAACAAACAGCTGCCAAACAGTCGGCATCTACATACCATCGGGGACGTGAAGACACCATTGGGGACGATTACCTAGTGCGTGTCATTTGTACACACACAAAAGCGTAAGGCACAACACTTGGCCCTCACTAGTGAACCGACTTTAACACATATACCACTCCTGATCGGAACAAGCCTAGCGAACAACTGACAAACAGTCAGCATCAACGCACCATCGGCGACGTGAAGACACCATTGGGAACGGTTCACTAGTGGGTGTCATTTGTACACACACAAAACCGTAAGGCATAACACTTGACCCCTACTAGTGAACCGACTTTAACACATAGACCACTGCTGATCGAAACAAGCCCAACGAACTGCTACCAAACAGTCGGCATCTACGCACCATCGGGGACGTGAAGACACCATCGGGGACGATTCGCTAGTGGGTGTCATTTGTACACACACAAAACCATAAGGCACAACACTTGGCCCCACTAGTGAACCGACTTTAACACATAGACCACTGCTGATCGGAAGAAGCCCAGCGAACAGCTACCAAACAGTCGGTCACATGCACGCACCTCAACAAGCCGCGCGTACCGATCACAACGTGGTGAGTCAACCATTCATTTACATTCACGCACATTACACTTACGCTTTCAAACCCCTTTGCCAGACATTCTCTTTTCGACTCAGTTATTCAAGGACCTCTTCGATCAAATTTAGACCTTTCAGATGCTGACTCACAAATCAGCAATGCCATTTAGTGCAAAGGTAGATGCAAAGTGTGGGTGTAGAGGGTGAGTGAAGGTCGAGTTGGCGAACCAACCTGTTACTATAGGGCAACATCATGCAGTTTAGTACAGACTCATAAGGAGTCTCCTTGATTAAAATGACCTGCAAATACACACAGGTCACAGGGTCTCAAGACCTCCCTCACTATCGCTCTACACGAAGTTCAGCGATGTGAACTTCAATTTTATCGGTGGACTATAATATAGTCGGATCAAATGTAAATATGAAGTAAGAAAACTCCGACAAAAGTCTTCATCTCATACTTACTCAAGCAGTAGGATAACTCAGACATGAGTATCCTACCACTTGTTTTAGTCTAACTAGCTCAGACTTAGACAGACCATGGGATGACCCGCACAGGAGTACCCCATCTTCAATCTGTCAATCTAACTATCTAAGATGTGTACACACGTAGAGACGAGCAATAGGATATTCCTCACCCTGGAGCCTTATCCTGTCACCCGTCCTACATCCATACATCAATCTATCTGCACTCACACTTCCTCTACACCAGCTTGCGCGAACCCAGGCAGTGGATCTAGCTAGGTATTGGGTTCACATGCACATGTCTGATTGTGTCAGCAATCAGACCAGAACAAACATATAGGTAATGAAACAACAACATATAATAACAATAAAAATAATAATAATAATAATAATAATAATAATAATAATAATAATGAATAATAATAATGACAATAATAACAATAAGGAATATGAACGAACGCGCTAAACAGAAGTCTAGGCTACAATCAATCATACAGAAGTCCAGATAATCATGTAACGAGTAGAGAGTCGAATTGCACCAAGGATCCATTCAAATGAGAGCGCCAACATTCAAACCCTTCAGGTCATATCCTTGCAGTACTCGATGCTGCTCTTTTCTACCTAGTGTGTTGCAGTCCGCCTATGGCTGCAATCGCCCTGCTGTACTACCGCCCCCGTTGTACTATTGTGCCCCACTGTACGGTTGTGCCTCACAACACTCAACACCTACGAGTGCACCCCAGGCCATCTTGCGCACATGCAGACACTTGCGCAGCGTTGCAGTAGTGTGTCCACATTGTCTGCCTAGGCCAGAACGCCTTGGAATGGCTGGCCCCTCCCTATACGGGAGGTGTTGCTGCTGCTGTACTGTTTGGGCCTGGCCGTGGAAGTTGCCAGTACCTTCCAGTTGGGCCCTTGTGTCTACGCTCAGGCTCGTTTCAACACTTGAGGGCCAGAGCCTTCTACAGTTGGGCACACCGGATTACCCAAGCTTTGCATGCTTGCTGTGTTTTGCACTGGCCCGCGGGGTAGCTAAGGCAACAATGCTGCATTCGCATTGCCCACGGCTACTTAGTGATGTGTCGGTCTCACATTGAGTGTGTGTGTGTGTCCAGGGCGCATCCATTCGGGGCTCTGAGCTTAACTGTGCAGCCTTAACGCCGGCTTGACGCTGGTTGTGCGCTATTACTGCGGATGACACCGGACTGTGGCAACATGCTGGCGCTGTCTACTCTGTGCACCAGGAATTGCCAATGTGGCGCAGGTCATCTGTCGACCTGCTAATGTGGCCCAGGCCACTTGTCTACATTGCTGCTGTGGCACAAGCCATCTGTCCGCCGTGCTGATGTGGTGCTGCCGCCGCTGTGTACATGACGATGTGGCGCATGCCACCTGTCTACATCGTTGATGCAGCGTTGTCACCTGTGTACCATGCTGATGTGGCATATGCCACAAGTTTACATTGCTGATGCGGCACAGGCTGCCTGTGGCATACTGTGCAGCCACACGGGCCCTGCAGGGCCCGTCCCGAACCTCCAGCCTGTTTCCCTACAGGGAAACTTCCAGGCTCTTACCTAGAAGCTTCCTTCTGACAGGGCCTACAAGCCCCAGCCTGTTACCCTACAGGGAAACTTCCAGGCTCTTGCCTGGAAGCTTCCTTCTGACAGGGCCT